CTAAACTACAATATTATTTTGGGCAGAAAAGGCAACCTTGATATATAAAAATATAAATAGGTTTTTCTTTATGTAATTAAAATTAAATTAGTTAGCTAGATAGTTAGTCCTTTTCATCCCGTATGGGATATACGGCTACAACTAACTTCCGCCATCAAGGTCTGTCGTAAGCAATGGCTTGTGCATCACCCTAGGAAAGTCCTATCTCCTCCAGCTCTGTTATCACTTTCCTTCTCCAGGTCATCTTTGGCCGTCCACATTTATGGTTACCAGCTGGTGTCCAGCGGAGGACTACCTTGGATATCCGTTCTTGGGACATGCTCATTACCTGCCCGCACCATTTAATCCTGCCCTTCTTGATCTCCAAGGATATGTTGTTACATCCCTTCTTTTCATATAGGTTCACATTAGAGATCTTATTAGTTCAGTAGATGTTGCAGAGTTCACAGAGTCAATTATTGTGAAATGAATTACTTTGCTCATGTCAATATTCACTATTCTCCAATACTCGGAACCGTACAAGGGTACCGACTTTACGATGCTGTTGTAAAGTTTGAATTTTATCTTGAGGTTATATTGTTTTGATTTTCATATAGTACATAGTCTGCTGAAAGAATCTCTGGCTTTATTTAATCTGATCTTTACGTCTTTTTTGGCATTGAGACCTTCAAGGTGTAAGAAGATTGTCTATTGGAACTGTTTAGTCAGATGTTATTTGACGCATTATTCAGTCAATGGTGACGAGAAACAGAATGTGTGTTTGTGTGTGTGTGTTTGTGTGTGTCTGTGTGTGTGAGCGAGAGAGATGCTTCAGGAACTCAGGCAGGATGTTATGATATCATGTTGCTTTGCCTGATTTGATGCTGCATGGAACCGTTTCCGGTTCTATTATTGGAAATGTCTCTGGAATATTTTGACCTAGTTCATCTCACTTCCGAATGCAGATTGTCGCCACCCATCCCATACATGACGTCGGTGCTGTTTCTCCAGGAGTGCTTTTGCCACTTCAATAAGTGACTAACTATAGTATTTGGCTTGACAACAGGGTGAACTTGAACTGGTGGTTGCTGAGCGGTACCAAGTCTTTGAATCAAGCTCCATTATTTTCGGCTAAGTTGAGTGATCCTGTAGTTTTCTACCAGCGAGGGCGCCTGGCTGTATCCAGTAAATCGATCTGGTGATCAGCTACGTCTGGCTCTATAGAAAGCCTTCAATTGCATTTATTTTCTCTCGAATTTAATGTTTTAACGGTCTAGTTAAAAGGTACGTGTCTGTTAGATATGCGATACCACTTGTCCGCAATATGCTTTTCTATGCTATTTTTATTTTACCCAAGAAAACACTGGTTACATTCTGATCTATTCCATTTACGAAAAGTTATGAACATGTTTCCAAAATAGCTGTTTAAGGGATCGGAATGGTATTTTCAATACCTCACTACCACGTTTGCTGTGGACAATGCAAATGTCATTGGTTACTTCTTTGAAAGTTTGTGACAATAAATTCGTCAAACATTGTTCACATTTTCATCTCTAATTTCATATACATGAAAAAACTTCTTTAGTTTATCCTCAGCCACATCTAATAAATTACAGCCTAAAGCTTCTACCACACGAGTGTTCACGGATTATTAACAAAGTAGTTCCTAATACACTATACTATACTATTTTTAAATGAACGTGTCGTGCAGTAAAAGGTTGTTCAGTATCTTCAAATGCTATACACTTCTGAAAATGTAAAGCTAATACAGAAAAATGAGCATATTAGAGTAGGAGTTGAAAATTATCTAACCTGTATGATGGTATTGTTTGTATAAATATTATTTCTGCCTATTAATATCAGCGAAGCACACATTCTCTTGCGAAAATTATGCTAATTTTAATATAATGAAACCTTATGTAGCATTTTTAATTGATTCTAGTCACTCAGCCATTAAAAGTATTTTAGTCAAGAATCTAGAATATCGAGTTCATTCATTGACATCGCCTATAGCTAGTTTCCTTCAAACGTATGGCATTTTGTTCTTTGATTATAATTTAACAGTGCTAGAGACTAACTTGTTTTGAAAGTCGGATAATGATGCTGAATGGTGCATCATAAAATTGGTTTTACTTTGAATAAGGTTTTACATTTTGTTTTTGAATTCTGTCCGTAATATTTTATTTATGGCAATTTTTATTACTTATATAAAAAAAGAAATCGCTAATCAATCAACAACCCATATTATATACAAATTTTAAAAAAACCCAATCAAAATACGATATCCTTATTAGCTTCTTGTTTTATTAAAAGAAACCTTGATGGATTCGAACATCGGATGCATCTACTTGATAGCTCGGTTGTGTTTAAACAGATAGGATCTACTCTACCAATGAAAATTTAGGGATGGGGCACTTCATTTAATTTACCCCAAACTTTTCTTTATAGAAAAAAACAATTTTGATTTCCGACTTGGCAATTTTTTTATCCTTCTGGATCTATTTTGTTGCAAATAAGGATAATACTTAAAGAAGCAAAAGATCTCATACTAAGTTTTTAGATATAAATAAGTCAAGTATAATATTCACAAGCGAATTGGAACCCGATAAAAGAATCAAAGAATCATGTCCAGATCATTCAACCTTTGTTTGCATGCAAAATGGTATTGCAAAGGCCTATATGAACGCGAAAGATATTAAACAATTGTGATTGTATTCGTGCACAATGAATAAAGTTGCACAGTTGTTAAATATGCATAATTATTAGTCAAACATTTCCATCGTATAAAGTATCCATGAAAATGAATAACTATTGCAAGCGACATGTGCATATGGTACATAGATTGGTAATAAAAAGAAAGCTAAGTGCATTCCATTTGTGCAACATATCAGCATTATTCGACAGGTGCCTGTTTCTAATATGATATAATATAATGGACAAATTGCATGTCATCAATACAGCCTAAACTTGCTTCTTATGCGTGAATTGGATCATTAACAGGTAAGCACAACAACAAACTCTCAAGGAGCTTCTATATGTAATTGATTATTCTTGTACAAGGTAATACCATACTTACTGCAACCTGAGTTGTTGTATTTCTGAACATGGAATGTTAAGACAGAGACATCTCACGAAGCAGTGGCCTTTAGCTTTCCATTGATTTGCTAAACCTTAATTCTCCCACGCTTCCCGGTACGTGGCTGCAGAACAAACAAATTATTACTTTTGGTTTTGTTCTGAGCTAAGGATTCAGAACTCGACAAAATTACTCGGTAAATGTATATTGCTATGGAGAGCTATGCAAGCTTTAGACATGTCATGGATTTTGGATCTTGATCAAATAAGCAAGGCATAAAGGGTGTTGAATAAGATCACCCCTGACGATAAGATATTCTCTCCTTAAAACAAAATTACATTTTTTATGACAAACCTATCCATGCCAGTGATGAAACAATATGATTGTGTTTACCTTTCATTTTCAACGACAGTGAAATGCCGTTAAGAGAACTGCATATGTTAATTAAGTACTAATGGTGTTTCATCTGAAAGCTTGTTTAGGAAGTGTTTTCTATGAAAGATAGCATATGTTGTTATAAAGGATTGATATCTAGTCAGTTTAATATCATAAAAAATTATTATGTGCAAAATCAAGTAGAATATGTGAGAAATTGAACATACGAAGCCTTCTTTTTCTGATTCTTCTAACAATATTACTGCATTATCTTCAGCATGTCATTCGATGCTCTCCCTTTGTTTAAATGAGTAGTGAACAAAAGATGATTCCTGACTTTCCAATTGAGAATATTCATTTTTCAATTAAAAGAACGTAATAAGTAGCCAACAAATATTTTAAAATTATTATAAACATCACAGTATTTAATACATTTTCTACCATCAAAGAATGATTACTATTTTACCGCTAAGGAATTTATGAGCGTACTCGTGAAATGAAGGAAACAGCATCACTTAGTTATCCATTTCTTAATATATTAAAGATTCATTACAATCACAGTTTGTAAAAATTGTAGTCTGAGAAACAATGATACTGAACTGGAAAAGCTTAAAAATATAAACGTTCTGATATATATATATATATATATATATATATATATATATATATATATATATATATATATATATATATATATATATATATATATATATATATATATATATATACACACACACACAAACACACACACTTTTCAGTATTATTATGTTTTCGTAAGCCCAAGACGACCTTGGGTTTTTGCGTCGGCCAGTATTATATTTCTCAGCCAAATAAAGCAATGCTTTAAACTCAAGCAAGCCCGTATTTGCATATTATTGCTTTTGATCCATGTTTATTTTTCTTAATCAATCAATAGCCGAACTCATATCAGAGTAAAGTTGCAACCGCCATATTCTCATATCAAGGGAGAACACTCATATGTGAGGAATATCATACAAAAAAAATATTTTTACATTATGGGCACCATATTAATAAACGTAATAAATTCAAAATAAAAACTAAAGAAAGAGGGTATCTATTTTCATGACCCTGTAATACACACCATTCTATTTTCGATCTGTCTCTCATTGTAACATTATACATAACAAGATGCCTGAAGAGCTACGTACTTTTATGATAAACGAGAGAGAGAGAGATAGTAGTAGTGGTAGTAGTAGTAGTAGTAGTAGTAGTAGTAGTAGTAGTAGTGGAAGTAGTAGTAGTAGTAGTAGTAGTAATTCAACTCTTGCACAGCCTCGTCATTATATTATTTTTGATTGGTCTATTTTACCTGGGATCAGGATACGTAGCCCTTCATCTCAGGGACACTCATTTATATCTTTGCATGTTCAAGAAGTGGGACTTTCAGTGGCAGGTCTGGTTTAAATAGTTATTTCTATAGTCCGATGCTACATCCCCGTTGGTTTGTAAACCCCCCTTACCGATTTCAATGACTAAAAGGTTTAACGTGATAAAAAAAAATCACAGAACTAAGTCAATTGAATCATTGATTTATAATGTTCTTCTAAACAGCTCCGGTGGCCTAGTGGTTAGAGCGTCCGCCTCGGATGTGGGAGATCGTGGGTTCTATCCCCGGTCTAGTCATACCAAAGACTTACACAAATGGCACTAAAAGCTGCCTCGCTTGACGATCAACATTAAGAGGTCAGTTTAGGACTGGTCGGCCTGGTGTCAGGATAATGTGACTGGGTGGGACATTATGCAACATGTCTGCGGCATGAGGCCCCAGTGCTTGACATCACTATAAACTACCCTACTGCAGACATCGTAGCGATATGACTAAAAAATTGTTAAAGCATGATGGTATAACTCATCCTATTCGGTAGCTGCCGGATAATTCCGTAAATTACCATAACGATGAGTTTGGAATTATATTCTTTTGTACACATGAACATATTAATGAAACCACTTGTTAAATTTACTTGAAAAGCATTTTTTCTCTCATTCTTTTTCTTTGCTTGATTCGACACTGTAAATATCGGAAGCAGACGACATATGTATGTACATCTTTAGTCGTGCATACACTCCATTGCTGAAAATGGACTTGTCTAGGAACTGGAAATGGGTCTTAGGCATGTCCGTCTATAATATTGATAACTTCCGTTAAACACGAAATGCGCAGACAATGACAGTGTTAAGGCCATTCTACTCACAGTCTGGTTAGAAAATATAAATCAAAGAATGAGTTGACTAAGTTTTGTGCACTTTTTATCAAATTATTGGTTTCCGTTATTGAAATCGGCAGGAGGGGGTACAAACCAATGGATTAGTAGGCTCGAACTATAGCTTCTTTTTGTTTTCGTTTAGTTTGTGTGGTAATGTATCACTCTTGTCTCTAGTCCGATTATTTATATTATTTTGGCCATGTTCCTTTCCTTGTCAACCAATATTACGTCGCGCATCATGTGCTATTTCAGCTGACTGGTCTCCGTATTGAAATTTTACATCAGTTTGACTTTGCTGTTCTTAACAGCGCTCTTTGTCTCTTGATCACACCAATTGTTTATGGACTCCAGATCGAGCTACCAATGGACGGTTAGAAACAATTTTGATCGTGGCTATTTCTATACTCTCACTTAACTCTCCTGCTACACTCAATCCTTACTCATTTGTTATTCTTCTTCTTTGCATGTCACACAGGTAATATTCCCCTCTTTCCCCATACTGATTTGTATGATGTGGTTGTTTGGGATATTGAAATTCCGCAGGATGTCCTCCATTCTCCCTGCAGATAATTTCTCTTCCCGGTACTCGTACGAAGTTTTAAAGTTTTAATGTACGAGGCTGCCTGTGAATGAATTTGGCTAGATCTTGGTGTTGAATTGTGTACTCGCACTGGGATAGCTTGTTACCTTCATTTATTGGGTGATGTTGTAATCCTTGTTCTTGCACATCATGTACAATGGTTAGAAGTGTTAATTTTATATGTCCGGTTTCGTCTTGTTGACCATGAGAGACTGGCCATGTACTGATATTACCAGTCCTTCTCTCTATTTAGCACTTCCAATGGCAGCAGTTGTCATGTATTCTCAGCGCCATATTATTCGGCGTATAAACTGCCAATGGATTGCCTTTTCTATCTATTCTCTTGTCCTTACCACCTACCATCTAGGCTGGTTTGTCATTACAGCAAGGAAACGCGGTAGCCCAGATGGTTGATTGCCGAGTTCGTAATCCAAGGGTCTTGGGTTCGATATCCGCCTACGTAAGCCCGCGTAGACTGCTTCGGTTTGTCCTTTGGAAGGCACCTTGTTCCCATTATATGGTCAATAATATATTATAGGTGCTATTAAAAATAGCAAAAACAAACCATAAATTATATTGATCGTTCTTGTTGAGAATACATTCTTCATTGACTAGCTTATAAATCTTTATCATTGTTGCCTAGCAAAGTTTCCAAGACTCTTCTTTACAAACTTATCATAGTCTTCAAATTTTATTATGCCTCTATGTTTACGTATATCCTTTCTTCGATCAACTCTGCAGGACAGAGATCATCTTTCTAGTCCTTTTATCCATACTATATGACTCTTCTTTGGACAAATCCACGAAAACAGATTTGTACTGCCCAGTTATAAATAGCTGTGACTGTGTTTCCTAGATTCCATTTTAAGCCTTGCAATTTTCATATCTTTCGAAGGTACTCTTCTCTGATTTGACCAAAGTATCATTTTTTAACCTTACGTTTCATCGCATCATAAATGTCTAAATGTTTATAATCTTAATCCTCCACGTGTTTTTTTTTTCACATCTCGGATGTCTGGGAACTTGATTCCTTATGCTCGTTCTCTTTTCCTTGTTTTCCATCAGAGAAACCTCTTCTTGTTATTATTATTATTATTATTATTATTATTATTATTATTATTATTATTATTATTATTATTATTATTAAAGAAAAAACAATGTTAAACTATAACTGCTAAATCGGTATTTTGCTTAATTTTATATGGTCACAGAAATTTCATTCAAACCAGAAGGATAAAGTAAATTGTGGTCATTGACGAGAAAATTAGAAGATATTTACCGTTTCAATGAGAAAATGTTGTGTCCACAGGAATTATCCCTCTCATTCGTAATCTAAAAGGTCCATTCAGAGTTTTATGAATATTAGATTACGCCTATTCATTAGAGAAATTGGTGACCATGATGTGAAGACTAATCAAAGGCTGGATATTTTTTCGACCATTAGGAATAGTAATGTTTTCATATGCTTGTATTAGCTTTGAGAATTATGCATGTCAATTTTCTCCGACTCGGATCTGTCTTAGAGCTCTTCCAATTTTTCTTTCAAGGAACACAGGTGAATCTGTCTTTTAAAAGCACATTTACTATTTATTTAGCTTTGTTAATGTTAATAATTTAATTTTCCAAATTTTATTTTGAACTGAGTAATAGTAAACAAAGTAATTGAACTTTGAAATAAAAGCGCTTTTTTATCATAGTGTTCTGAATTCCTAAAGTTCTGCTTTATTATTTGAAACCGTTTTATCACATTACTGCAGACATCGTGCCATGTGACAAAAATTGTTAAAGCTACGGTAAAAATCCAAATAACACACACACACACACACACACACATACATTACTATGGGTATATTCTGACAGAAATAAATTATTAAAGTTACGGTAAAAATCCAAATCACACACACGCGTGCGCGAACACTCACACATACATTACTAAGGGTATATTCTGATAGAAATATCTTGTTAGGGATATGTTTGACTTTTATAAATCTTAGATTTTCTAAATTGCTAAAGCTAAGGTAAAAATCCAAATCTCTATTTCTCTCTCTCTCTCAAACATACACACACACGCACACACATACATTACTATGGGTATATCCTGACAGAAATATTTTGTTAGGGATATGTTTGATTATTATGAATCTTAGATTTTCTATATTTAATCAATGTAGCAGATGATGCTTCAAATAGAAGAAATATATCGCATTAATATATGCTAGGACAATATCAATGTAACAAAATAAAAATATATTAATATCATGTACACCTTTATTGGGCGTAGTGCTATAAATTACGTAAAACAATGTTTAATTTAAAAACCAGTTTTTTTCAACTGCCAGCCGCCACTGGAGTTAATTTAGTAATCTCTACGTACAAGAATTTTAAAAGGTACATTCCCAAACGCGTTCTGTCGTAGGAAACTTAAGCACATTCTTTGCAAACACGTATGCTTATTGATTCCTCTTTTTCCTCTTTTTCAACAAAGTAATTTCTCAAGTAAAACGTTAAATTCTGCATCTTTTCAAAGTTCAGATTGTGCAGATGTTCATTAGAAACATTATCCTCGATCAGAAACCGCGTTATTGTATTATTATTTTCACGCTTCAGGTGTTAATCCTTTTAATTCCACGCACAATATAAAATACCGATTATTTAATATTAATGGGGTCGATCTTTATCCTTTGTCATTGTTAGGAGCTGTTCCTCGCACACTTCAATTTTATTTTCCCGTGTAAACGACACCCGCTAATAAACGATCAGTACACTTATTTAATTGAATTCACATTGAAAACATATTTAACTTGTTAAAAATCTCAGCCGTAATTATATGGTTCTCGAGAAAATATGGCACAGGACTGTAGCATTTTGTTAGTTGCTGTTGAGATTAAAAGTTAATTGGTGAATTCTGGTGGGGGGAGAAATGGAATATTAAATGATGGAGAAAGCGTGTTTTCGAAACCATGACAATACATTACCGCCAGATTTCGATAAAAACACGATAATTATATTATAATAGTGGTAATCAAATGCTAAAAAAAAACAATTTTATTTAAATAAATTTGGCTTAATACGGCCATAAGTTACAACATCGCGTGTAAAAACTAGTTTTGATATGGAAAGCGAATAATATTTGATTGCACGCTGTTACCAGACCTTTAGTAGCAGTCTTATTCTATTTCTGGTGATTTTATTTAATTGTATGTTTGTACATAACTTTGTACCAGCAGATTTTTGCAAATGTTGCAAATATCCCGTAACTGAAAAATAAATTTATCACTTGACAGAAAAAATAATTACAATACTATAACTTTAACGATAATTATTTTAAAAAAATGTTTGAATATATTATATTGAAGTCACAATTTTTGATAATCAGGTTGGTTTTAAAACCTGATGATATGTCATTGATAAATCCTTCTATCGCAGGTTTAAGAAAATAATTAAAGATATATGAACAATATCCATTTGAAAATTGAACAATATCCATTTGAAAATTAAACAATATCCATTTGAAAATTGAACAATATCCATTTGAAAATGATATTACACATACAATCGGTATGCATTGGCTTTCAATCAACTTAATTTAAATTACCATTTTCTCTCTCTATTTGTCTCAACGGCCATGTTCGTACATGTATCGACAGTTATATGTATTTGGGTCGTATTTGAAAATCCAATTAGTTAGATAATGAATATATGGTGAGACATTACAGATTTGTTTGTACTCGAATAAGAATGCTTCAGAATAAATATATAACTTGCTCTTTAAATATAAAAATTAGATTATTTAAGTCTTATTGCTGCACAATGTATTGGGCTTCACGTTTGACAAACAT